CTGCCCAACGACGTGAATCAGGGCTTCCTGAAAGATGACCCTGCTGCGAGCTAGGTACCCGAGGCGCAGATATGAGATTGGGTATTTTGCGATTTGCTTCCAGAGCCGTGACTGGAACTGCAGCATGTGGTGATCAACTCGAGGTCCCACCACAGCAAGGGCGTCATATTGGTCGGCGAGATTGAGCAGGCTCTTGCATTGGACATAGGCATCTGCGACATTGACGCTATCGAGCACAGGCGGGTAATTGTAAAAGATGCGAAAGAGGTTGTCGTAGTCGCGCAAAAGGTCCTCGTCGGCTTGCGATAACTCGGGAGCTGGAGGAGGGTGGTTGGAAGAGAGACTAAGATTGGCGACGGAGCGGAAGAATCCACTTGGAGTCGACGAATTGGATAACGATCGCGAATGCGAGTGGGAATGCTTGGAGCGACTTTGAGAAGAGCGCGAGTCTCTAGAACTGACTGTCGGTGGAGCTGATGCAGGGCCGAACAAGGATTGTGTGGTGTCTCGCGACGATTCGTCTCGTTGAACCAGCATAGGAATATCGTTGGGTCCCGATCTTGGGTCTAGCTCGTATCGCCATTTCTTTCTGGGCGGATGGGTGCTTCCTCTCTGCGATGAGGAACTGACTTCGCTTCCATTGATAGGATCAGGTTCTCCATCCTCGCCGATGCGGGAGAGCTCGTTACCAGCTGGAAGTGCGCGAGCGCGAGACCACTGATTCGATGTGCTAACTTCAAAGAAGCCGCTGGACCGAGTGAGAGTATGGCGATGAAGCAGATAACGGTTTTGCGTGGGAGCTGCGTCGCGGGGGGTCTCTCGCGCGCGGACTACGATCTCGACATCGCCACTGCTAAAGACAGGGAACTCATTCTGGAGGCCGTGAGAAGTGCCTCCAGTATGAGAGCGATTGTAGCGCTTCGATCGCGAATGTGATTGAGACTGACGAGAGACTATGGAGGAGGGGCCGCGGCGGGAGACTGAAGAGGCGGTTGGAGGCTCCAGCGTGGACACCATGAGGACTTTTTGCGATATTAAATATTTATATATCCGTAGAGGCGATGGCGATAAATTGACAGCCGCGCAGGTGAGGGATGAGGCTCAGGATATGCGACTGTGGCGGAGCGAAGCAGATAAAGAGCTAGCGACGAGGCTGGTAATTGATGATGAAAGGAGCAAGACAAAGACAAGCGTGAATCATATGGGGCGGGATGTTTTGGTTTGTTGCGGAGCGACGAGGGGGAGGAAGGATATCTGGCCGACAGAGACAAGTATATGACGCGATAGAGTATAGAGAGAGGAACAAAGATTGGTGAGAAGATGGTTGAGAAGAAATAATATAAAAATAAACAAGACGAGACAGTCAAGTAAAGTACTAGAGTAAATAAGTAGACTGCGGATACGTGACTGTGGGTGTAATACCTGAGATATGTACAGTACAAGGATGACCTGTGATGGTGGCACGCGGACAACAAGAGAGACAAGAGGGCTCCTGCAGCCACCTCAGAGCCAGAGATTCAAGGTTATGGGTGCATCGTCCAAAACATTGGATGCACCCGCCCAAATTATCCACTCCAAGGCTGTTTCTGTTTTTCTTGCTAGGGGCCCAGGGGGGTCGTTTTTATGCCTCGGAGGCGAATCAGTTGAGACCATTACAGGGGTTGTTAGGTATTAACTATTACCCGCATTAACTAGCGAGAGTCTTTGTCGGGTCACGAATCACGATGAACCTATGACTGACTGACGCTATTTGTTACAGCTACAGCATATTCGGGGGAACTGTACTCTACTTTGCTAAGTTAGAGAACCAGTCTGTACAACAGTAAACAAAGTTATGACGATTATTGTTTATTTACTAAAAGTCTAATTGCTGACCCTATTTTTTCTAACTTTACCTGTGGCTCTCCACTAACACTAACGCCAACCGTTGTGCTCTGGACAATTGCAGCTTGGCTTCTAGACTAGAAGCTTGTGATTCTACAGACGATCACTGCCTTGATTGTTCAAAAGATCCCTAACGCGAACTTGGACTGGCCAACAGAGGTTCTTGGCAGCGAAGAGACAATTTATCCACACTCGTCGCTTTCCAGATAACATGTTTTTATAATATAGAACACATCTATCTGTCTTTGTCCCTAGCAGTTTATGTTGTTTCAGGTTTAACACCTCAAAGCCTGCACTAATTACCTGTAAAGCTCTATCTTCTCAGTGTGTCCGATGCTCGGCCCCACCAGCTCGGCCGGAATTCAGATGATATACAGACCCACTCAAGCTTGAATCCCGGCATCACCACTTTTCCTTTCAGCTTTCGACAACTTCCCCCTCCTCCGCCAATTGCGCTCCAGGCTCAAGCTGGACATGTAATGGAATGACTACGGCACCTCGTGTCTTTCATCACGTCCCTAGGCCTATCAGCCTCTTCGAGTTCAAAGATGCCGTCGAAGCAGTATGTCGTCCACGGTTTCCAACCGCCCGCTTCGCTAGGCCGCAGCGCATAGGTGTGGATCACAATGTCCTTACAGCTTTCCCATATACTGACATAATAGTAGTGCTGGCTACTAGCGGAGGCGTTGACTCAATGGCTCTCGCATTTCTCATGTCTAGACTCGTTCGCACATTTCGTGGAATCAAAATCGCCGACAATCCCGTCCATGGCGTTCTAGCTCTCGTTATAGATCATCAACTGCGCGATGGGAGTGCCCAAGAAGCGAAAAAGGTAGCTGAAGAGTTGCGCAAGTTCGATATCAAAGCCAGCGTTTCGACTCTTGGTTGGAAAGAGGAGAAGCGTATGGGTTTCGATCCACGCGAACTTCCCAATATCGAGGGCCTTGCTCGAACCTACAGATACCGTGCGCTTGGTCGATATTGCGCTTATCATGGAGCCGATAGTCTTTTCTTCGCGCACCATCAAGACGACCAGTATGAGACGATATTGATGCGATTGCTTGGTGGGCATGGGTACCGAGGCCTGCAGGGGATAAGGGAGGCCAACTCGATCCCCGAATGCTACGACTTACATGGCGTGTACAAGAGTGGTCTACTGGATGATCAGTTGAGAGATAACCCATCTCTGAGTTTCAGACCAGCTCAGCGCGAGATGAAGCGCTTGAGGCGATCAATCCGAGACGATTTGACCCTCGAGCCATCTCCTGCTTTGGCAGCTTTTCCTCGAGACCTAGTAGACTCTTATCCAGGATCACCCGAGATCGAAAGACCGTCCGATGTTCCCTATCTCAAACCCTTGGATGTTGAAGATGGCGGTGTCATGATATATCGGCCACTTCTTGGATTCGACAAGGACAGACTTATTGCTACTTGCGAAGCCAACAAAGTCCCCTGGGTAGAAGATGCAACGAACAAGGATCCTACATTGACGACACGAAACGCCCTCAGGTACCTCGTGGGAAACCATGAATTGCCGAGAGCCTTACAAAAGCCGTCAATTTTGTCTGTGGGCCAGAGATCGAAACAGAGAACCGAGTTTGAAGATGCAGAGGCAAGACGCTATCTCATTCGAGAGGCCGTCATCAAAGATTTTGATCCTAATGCAGGGACTTTGTCAATCCAGTTCCCGCCCCGACGTCCATTTGAGAAGCGATCCAAAAGGCGTTCATTTGACTCCGAGAATGAGCTACGTAAGGAACATCGAAAGACCATCATGAGCATCGCAGTTCGCAAGCTTATTGAATTTGTTACCCCTGAATATCACCTGCCACCCCTGGCAAACCTGGAAAACGTTGTAAATAATATCGTTCCTGGTATGGCTCCCAAAGCAAATCTTACCCCCAAAGCATTCACCATGACCGGTGTGTACTTCCACCCAATTGTAGAAGGAAACTTGGTCAGATGGTTTCTCTCCCGAGCACCCTACACATCGAAGCAGACCCTTCCCACTGCAAAGCTTTACTTACCCACATACTATTCGCCACCATCCCCTGAATTCATGGCAGAAGAATTTGCCGAAGCTACGCCCTCGTTCGGCCACTCAGGGTGGATGAAGGCCAAGATGTTCGATGGCCGTTTCTGGGTGCGCATCGGACGAAACAGGTGGCCCATGTGGCAGGTCCATCCATATCGCGCAGAGTACGCCAAAGCATTCCGCAGGGCACTGCCTCCGATGCGAAGGGCCCGGCTGGAGAAGTTGCTGAAGCACTACGCACCTGGGAAGATTCGATACGCACTTCCAGCCATATACGGCGTCGACCGCAAACCGGATCCGTACTCGACCCATGTAACCAAAACCCTGACGCTTCTCGCGCTGCCGACTTTGGGAATTCATATACCGGGCCTTGAGCGATGGGTCAAATATGATGTAAGATATAAAAAAGTCGATATTGGACTGCTGGGGCATCAACCTCGGAGGGAGAAGAAGAAAAGGCTGGCGGTGCATCGTCCTCTGTTTGGACCGGCGCGTAAAAAGAGGCTGCGCTTGATGGGCCGGTATGGACCGCAGTAGTGAGCATGTTCTGCACTTTGTATTCAGGCTAGGAGCGACTTATACCCTAAGAGTTCAATTACTTTCCGATACTTTGAAGTGGCCGGTGCTGGCCCTCTGACTCGTCTCCGAGTCTGCCGCGCTCCATTTTCTTCTTCTTTTCCTTTTGGGTAATAGATTTATGGGTAGCTTCACCCTTAGAAGCTCAAGTAATATGTGAACTGCTCTCCAAGAGAAAGTTTCTGTAGATGCAAGTGAAGATATCCTGGAACTCACAGCCGGGTCAAAATCCTAACGGGATTAAAGGACAACCCTCATCTCACACGCCAAAATGTGAACCTAAGCGACAACGACAGGATTAGAACCTGCGAGGCCAAAGCCAATAGATATCTAATTCGTTTGATAAATTCAAGTCTATATACCAACGATGGTAGCATATAAGTCATAGCATATATACTGTATGCATTAAGGCCGAATTCTGTATTTTGTTACAATACAGCTTAGACAGTATGCTTGTATCATATATATACTCCTATATGATGATGATTCAGCATCAAAGATACGAGGCGCTGTGGCGGAGTGGTCTATCGCGCTAGACTTGAATTCGTTCATAATATCTAGTTCCTTCGGGAGCATCGGTTCGAACCCGATCGGCGTCGTTTCTCTTTTTGCGCTTTTCTTCTTATTATGTCGTTGCATGTCCAAGGAAGGGACCAGTGTCAATTGTCTAAGTACTAGTTGTTGAGGAATGTGTGAGAAGTTGATATCTATATACCTGAGCCATCCTATCACCAACCTTTTGGTGGACAATCTGGAAATCGAAGGAAAGGCTGATTGACGAGCATGACTGAATCATCCTTATTTGCTAGAGCATTTATATGTTCAGCTTTACAATCGCAATCCCCTGGTCTCTGTTCTTGATATCCCTCGAATCGCAGGCACATTTCGGGCCCATCACTGTTCTATTTCTACACAATCAAGATACAACGAATATTCCAGCCCATCATTTTTAACATGAGTGACATGGCATGTTTCGGTGGTCCCAAGAAAAACAATCAATGGCCCGAAATTTTATAATATTGATACTTTGGGCAAAGATGTGCTCGCGTTTTACTTGGACTGTGAGGCTATGCTCGGGCACATGTGTAAGTCGTGAATAAGGCCAAATCCTATGCTACCCTATAAAAACCGTCACTGAATTCACCACACAGATCTTCAGCGCAGTACTAACCATAAAGTCCTCATAAAGAAACCGAATCATTTGTTATTTTATGATCATACTTAAGATGGTTTTTGGCATAGGTATTTTTGACTTATGGTGGCCCGTATATGCGATGACTCCCACCACACATCTAACCAAATCACGGTGTCAGCGAGCATCGCCACAATCATTCACGCAGTGTCACTGCCTAATATCTGCTGGGAGTTTTTCATGATTCATCACATTTCAAGACCCCTGATTTGAAACATTCATGTTCTTCATTCAGAGTAGGGTTTAAAATATCTGTGCCTGACCCGCAACGACAAGATCCTTTCTACTTCCTACAACTATGGCCTGTTCAAACTGGATATGAAACTCGACCTTTTCTCGGCCGGTAAAAAGAACACGTGTAAAGACTTGAGCCCTCCCTGGCACTGAACTGTTTCAGTATGCTGATGTTTTCAGTCAATGATAGTATCCGGACGACACTCGATATAGCCCCCCGTGCAATACCGCCAACGAGACGAAAAAGAGGTCATCCATCATAACAAGACTTCAAGACACGACCCTTGTAGCAAGAGGATGTCACAAAGCGAACTTAAAAGGCCTTGATGCAAGTGCAGAACACAGCAATGTTCTCTTGATCAACAACGACATATAAGCCATGGAAGAATCTTGAGCAACTTCAACCAAGTGGCGGAGTCCTTGCTCAACAATAGTATTTCCGAGACTTGCGGTGCCGCGACAGGCTTATCTCCACCTGTGCAGGTCTTTGGTCAAGTCCAGGTCTCGAGCCGGCAGGATACACATCTGGGATCTGAGGGACCTCGTGATACCCCGTCGCTCTCTGGAACATCTCCTCGTCGATCAAACCACAGTCATGAAGATGGTTCAGAAAATAGAAATCAGGCCTCATCTGACTTCCCGGAGGCAAGCCGCCTCGCAAGTGCTTTGCAATATGATGCATCCGCTTCCGATAACAGGCCTCGGTATCCGCTTGGCTGTATGACGGTGCCCGGAAAGTACGATCACAGAACCAGCATATGCATGTTGCGGGGAACATGTGGTGAAGATGCATCTCTGCGATATGTGCGATCCAGCCGGCCTCGTTGGAGGAATCAAATACTTCATCGCACCATCCAAGACCGATGAATTCGCATACAAGTGATGGGGAGATAGGGACAGGGGAAGGTTCTGTGAGAACAGATGCTATTCTGGGGGTTGGCCTATCGAAGCAGGACGACATATATGTCGAGCTGCTGGCGATCGACATGTTAATGCTCTGGGTAGGAGGGCCATTTGTGTTTTGATCCGAGAACATCAGGCTTGGGGCATAGTAGGCCGAGTGCACGACGGGAAAGATGTTCTGTGTATCTTGCATCCCTCTCCTCCTTGCGTTGTGCTCGCTTATGAATCCATTGATTTCATTGGCAATATCTCCCATATTTACAGGAGAGACCAGGATACAATATGGATATGAATAGGGCTGGAGCTGGGTAGTGTATGATGTGTTGAGGGAAATGTATGGAATAGTCAAGGTTTGAAGGATGCTAACAGAGACAATAAGGATACTCAGTACAGTTCAACCACGGGAAGGGTATAGAACAATGTCTCCAGGGATGAAGCAGAAGAGGGAGAACGATGATAACAAAAGAGACGGGAGAACTAGGCTTCTTATTGTTCTCATGTTCACCACGTCCAGGTCGAACGTCAGCATCGACACCCTTTCGTCAACCCGCCCGTCTAATGCCTACGTCGACATTGGCAGCTTCACGAACCATTCTTTTGCAAACCTTCCTTCCCATTCGTCACCAGTACCCAAACCACTGCTACCAACTCCATGAACGATAGCGCACCCAGATCATGGGGAATGCGGTGCAGAGCTGTAGTGGTTCAGTGCATGCATGCACGGCTGATGGCTGATCGCATGCCCCCATCACACAATGCCCACCAGCGGGCATATCGTCACCTTTTGGAGCTTCATCCCTGGTAGCATGCAAGAGCCATTCTTGGCTCGGACGAAGCCGATGGTGGTCGGCATATTTCGATCGAAACACGGCCAATTGGGTGATGGCGATGGTGCTTTGGATGCCACGACTTTTACACCCACCAATGAGTGTACTACATGATGCGAAATGTAAGTTGCGCCGATTTATGGAGCGGATTGCAGACCAAAATGCCAGAGGTATGATAGGTTCAGGCTACCGGACGACTCCTCGGCTCATCACCTCTTTACAATCGACTACCTGTGGAAGACACCGGATGAGCGAGATGATGAGGGGAACCTCGATCAAGTACTGTTCATAAAGGAGAGTGAGAGCGCGGGGGGACATGGGAACCCCCAAATTTGAGGCTTAACTGCCCTGGACAGACGGTAAATGGTCTCAGCTAACAAGGCTTAGGCTTGTTGGGTTGCTAAAGACAACCCCTGGTCTATCAAAGCATTGTCTGACCTGTGGGTTGCAGCAATATCATACATATGATATGCATATTTGGATTAATTAATTACTTTGGAAATTTTATTAACATACAAAACCCGATTCTAACAGGACTTGAAGAAGCACTCTCTCAAAGATAATGAACAATCAAGTTTCTCTCCTTCATGGAAAAGAGGAGCCGTTCTATCCATCACGACTTGGAGAGCAAGCCTACCCACACATCAACACCAATAACACCACCCTGTTGACTATGAGTCAATTCAAACGGACATCTCGACCTGCAGCACGACCCGCCTATCCTAATAACTACTGCATCTTACATCTTGCATCTCGACCTGAAACACTGAAAGCGCCAAGCAGGCTACCATTACGACAGACAGACCGATTTATTACTTCTGAAAGCTTGATCTGGTATAACCTCGAAGGAACACTGTTGACCGTGAATGCAGGGTTTGGGAACGCATGAGCTGGCATGCGTTGCCCAAGATAGCATCAGCCCTATGTGGAATAGGTGTTCGGGAATATGCCAGACGAGGAATGCAATGCGAAGGCCTGTTCGAACTGTCTCACATGTTACGTACCCTCACACTAACCCTAAATTTAGGAGAAGAATGATTAGAGCAGCAAAGTAATCATGACAGAGTTTCTGGACTAAAGTCATACTAAATCTATACTGGAAACCATGCTAATTTAGGTAGAAACTGGATAAATAACATAAATATTCTCATAATTCATTAGTATGCAGTATTCTAAATATGACTGGTCCGACTCCTCGTAGCTAGCTATCTATATAGCTGTGGTAGGCCTCACTATATGATTCCTTACATATATAAAAGGATGCACCATCTCTGGCTAGGGTGATCCCACATAGTAAAAGCTGGCTATAAACGCAATATCAAATGCCCCTAGCAAAGCAAATAGCTTCATGACCACCGTTGCGGCATAATCTGTCATTGCTCAGGGCTACAAAGAACCCTCGCCTTGAGGATGACGTTGCGATATTGCAAATGCCCACCGTGTTCATCGCCATGCTTAATCACACCTGGAAAAGCAACACAGCAGATCTCCCTGCCAGTCAAGGACTCTTCGTCCTCACCACCCAAATCCTCCATCGTCTCAGACTCGAACATGACCCTCTGGTGCGGCAACACCGTAGGCATATTCACCCGCAGCACGGCCTTTTGAACGGCAACGAGGCGCGCGAGCTCTATTGAGTTATTGACGAGAACACGTAGTCCACTGTCTCGAGCCTCGGAGGGAGATGTACCACAGAGGGCGTCGAGAAGACGAGTTATTCGGGTCAGAATGGCTTCACTGACAGATGACGTTGATGCTTCGAGAGATGAGCCGTCTCGACGGAGAAGAGCAAGGGTAGAGGATCGCCAATGGTTTATAGCCTCGTCAGAGGAAGCTGTATGATTTAGTGATTGATCATGGTTAATACTAAATGACATACCATATGAAGAAATAAGCTTTTCCAGCTGTCGAAATTGCTGAGTCTGCTCTTCTGAAAGGCCGACAAAGTAGGCGTCAAACACCATTTCGACTAGTATCCTCGATACGATAGACTGCAAGAGGTAAACCTTGTGTGTCGATGCAAGCTCCTCATACATGGGCACCAGTTCGTTGACCTCAGCCAGCGTTGCCTCATCCAAGTTCTCCAGATCTACCAGATATTAGTCAATCGATCTTCCAGAGAGTACCAACATTACTATTACTCACTTATCTTGGCTTTGCGAAAGTTCACAATGACCCAGTTCTGCAAACCATTGCCCAGCCGTGCCATCCCATCACCGAAAACCTCGTCGCATTCTTGTCCGTCTGTTCTCGTGCTACTGCTCACCCACTCTTTCAACCCACGTACTTGACCTCTGAGCCCTCGAATTTCGTCGTCTCGCTCCTTGAGCTCTCGTCGTAGGACCTCCCAACCTTCTCGCAACTCTTCACGCTCGCCCTCTCGTACTTCAACCTCGGCGCGTAGTAGTCGTAGCTCGGTATCGGTCCGTAAATATTGTTGATT